GGGTCCTCATTTCACCCACCTCGGAAGGATGGAAGGCTGAGTCAACCTTGAGCCGGTGAGATTAGAACCACTGAACTGCAGATAGCAGTCAGCTAAAGTGGCCTGCAGTGCTGCACTCTAACCACTGCGCCACCTAGAAGAACCATTAATCCTTCTTTTCTTCTAAATTCAGAACTCTTCTAAGATTCTAAGGATATATATATAACTTGGTAATTGAAAGTTGTTAGTATTCTCTGTTATTGATTATTTGGCTATTTCACGTGCAAAAACCAAGATTCCAATATATATTTATTAACTTTTATGAATTATGTATCAACTCAAAGCTATGATTACCTATTTCCACACATGTACAAGGATTAAATAAGCGAAAATTAGCACTGCAGAAATATATAATGTTGAAATATAACTAGGAACTGCAAAGAAGAACTAAAGCAGCGTCCTGGCAAGCTGATTGGCAACAGCCAGAAATTGGTAACTGATCCTGACAATTTAATGTACCCCGTATAATATCTTCTACTGTAACTTAAACAGATGTATTATTCCATACAATTAGGCGTGCAGCATATATAGTCAAAAATTGAATCCCACAATAAACCATTAACTATTGGAAAATGTAGCTAGTGACCATAACCTGAAGGATCAGTACACATTTCTTGACTTGGTTACCTTTTCATAAAGCTCACAAAATTAAATGCCAAAGTGCATTACTAGATATCTAGATTAACACGTAAAGCTAAGCTGGCTGGAAAAGCAATTTTGAATTAAAACAAAGAAAACGCATATAGAACCAACTCATCTTCAGCTCAGACTTCATTGTATGATTAGAAATGCATCATCACTAGGAGCCAAATTCTCAGTTAAAATTACACTGAAAGCCCTTGTTGATAACAGGAAGCCAGACTTCGGGGTTCGGGCCTGCCAATGAGCGAGCAAACATACAGATCTTGCTCTAACCACTCCCAATTATTGGTGCAAACTACTAACAGTTCAATCTAGCCATGCTGTCTGTCTGAATATGGCTGTTAATAAGAAGGGTGAACATTTAAATACGCATCATTTTTTAGAAATAATGTTAACAGGCAAGTTCACGTCAATTTAAAATTTAGGTTCTACTCAAATACAACAACACTAGAACCGGGTTGAGCTAATATAAGTAAGCAAACTTAAGGGCAAAACAGATGGACTCACAGTAACAGCCCTGCAAAGTGCCTTAAGGATCTTAAGCCAAAAAGGATAAAATAGCAGGATACCATGCTGTTTTGCTAAAAACTCACCTGACACAGATGTGCAACCATTTTCTGGGAGTAGAGATGCAGGCACAAAAGTGAGAAGATGATTGCAAGTAACAGACTTCAGCATAATAAACAATACACAATTGTAAATGAACAGAAATATTGTGTGGAACTAAACAAATATTCCTATATTTCTTACCTCTCGTTTTGCAAGCAGGACATTAGGAACAATATGTGGTAAACAACGTCCAAGCATCAGCATGACACTTTTTTCACTATCAGCAATTCGAGACACCTAAAGTGCAATTTTTTGGCAAAGTCATATCCAGCAATTGCGTTATACAACATGTCTTCGATAAAAAAAATTGTTGGGATTTCTTTCAGAAATTAGCACACAATTCAAATCTAAAATAAAATTCACACCTTAAAGATATTGGAGAAAAGTAAAAGCTATCTTTATGTGATTGGTTCAGAGTACGCACTGGGATAATGAGAAAGCACCACTGTGTGACTGACACAGGGGTGCTTTCCAAAGGGTATTAGATTAGTATGTACCTAGGTTTCAAAAAATGGTACCTAGATCAACACACTCATGTGACAATTGGGTAAGGTGATCAAATATTTTTCGGAGTATAAGACACACCTTTTCCCCCCAAAAGAAGGTGAAAATCTGGGTGTGTTTGAACAGAGCATTTTTGGCCTCCTGAAACCCTGCCTTTCACAAACCCTTCACAAAATGGACATGCAGAGGGCTTGGGAGGCTTTCACAGTGCTCCTGGGGCTGGGGAGGGCAAAAAAGACCAAATAAAGGGCCATTTTTGCACATTTTTGCCCCCCTGCCCCCCAGGAACACTCTACAAGCCTCCCAAAGCCTCTGCATACCCCACCCCCCCTATTTTTGCAGAGGGTTTGGGAAGCTTACAGAGTGCAAAAACTTTTTTAAAAAATTTACTTCTTCATAATCATGGTGTGTCTTATACTCCGGTGTGTCTTATAGTCCGAAAAATAAGGTGGTTCCTTTGCTTAATTCTTATGACTCAATAGGAAATAGTATTTTACAAAAATAAATATACCTCTGATCCCAAACGGCTCTCTGCTGACATCTGGCAAAATGACAGCAATGCTTGATGGAATGCAGGTGATAACTTCCTGAAATAGTGGGATGGAAAGGAAATATAAAACAGAACAAAAAGTTACTTGTACAAATCTATTTATTTCACAATTACCCTAATAATTAAAAAAATAAATGTTCAGTTTAAAAGTTTAATTAAGAATTATATACTGGAGCCTGAACAATCTTCAGAAGTATAATTTACAGGATTCACTAAGTGTGTTGTAATATATTTTATTTAATCACGTAATTGAATAAAGCACAGCTGACTGGAATTGCTCAATATCCTAAACCTTAAACCATGACTTATTATTTATACAATATGCTAAGCCAAGAATGAAAAATTATGTTATGGCTTGGCAAAATATGTAAACCTAGTCTGTACTTAGAGAAATATAATCTATTAATTTCTTAAAACATGCTGCAACTACAATAGGGAGAGCATGTCAAGATTCCCTCTATTACAAGTTACAATTCTTCATGGTCAACATAATCCTATGCATTTCTTGATTTCGTTCCAAAACATGGATAACTGATGGCCAATATTTAAAGAGAAATCTGGAGCGAAAAATGTTCACATGGAATCCCATAACCTTAATGTACTACATAAAACCAGGTAGGGCATTTAATTAAAGGTGGAGATGACAAAACTCCTACTTCAAAAAAAAAAAAGTAAAGAAAAGAAAAGAAAGAAAGACAAGAACCTTACAACATTTTTGTGTGTTGACAGTATAAATTCAAAACCTGAATGTAGTTGTTAAATCTATTCAATGTTAAATACAATATTTTACTGTAAAAACAAAGCATGGATGAATTTAACTAACCTATTAGGTTTATCAAAATGTATGGCAGCTTTATTTGATGGGGAACAAAAGGGAAATTTTTCTCTTTCTTTATAAGCAAAAGGTATTCCAATATCCTCTTTAGAAGTCCTACATTCAGGTTCCATCAAAGTTATTTCTTCTTCAGTTCTCCCAAGTTTATCATCATTGGTTGAACTTTTAATGTCTAAATATTTTCCATTATCATCTGGGAGCGTGGGAGGCACTTGGGCTGAAGATGGCTGTACTGTGTCACATACCATTGGAATAGACGTTTTTTGACTTCTCAAGTAGTCTATTTCACTGCAATAGAGAAAAGAAAAAAGCTTCTGAAACAAAAAATTAGTATGAAATAAAATCACTTTTAATGACTTAGCTAGTTCATGAATAATTTTTTTAGAATATTTTATTGGGACACATCTACCACAAATGTAAAAATACAGCAATATTTTGTAGTGGCCCAAACGCTGTGGAATATTCTTACCACTGGAGATGAGAACTTGGTTTTGCTGGGTTACTCTAGGCCGGTGTTTCTCAACCTTGGCCACTTGAAGATGTCCGGATTTCAACTCCCAGAATTCCCCAGCCAGCATTTGCTGGCTGGGGAATTCTGGGAGTTGAAGTCCGGACATCTTCAAGTGGCCAAGGTTGAGAAACACTGCTCTAGGCCCCAAGGGGGCGCTCATTGCTGGAGGTGGATGAAAAGGTAAGATTTCATCCCTATACTGACCATATCTTGGTTCCCGGTTTGTTTGTTTCCATAGTTTTAAATTTTTAATATGCACTGTTTTAAATGTTAAAACAGCTTTTCTATTTATCTTTCATTATCTGTAAGCCACTCATAGCTGCCTTATCAGAAAGATGGGCAGCATATACATTTAATAAATAAATAATAAAATAAGCTACTGCCATGCTGGTATATTCATATCCAGCATCCCCCCCAAAATCTATTTTCTTCAGTCCTTTTGATGCATGAAAATAATTCTGACAAAGATACCTTGAGGCATATAAATAGATTTTGGCAATGAAAGCTGTTAAACTGAAATGCAGAGAAACAAGTTTTTAAAAGCAGTTTAATTCAATTAGCAATAGCAATAGCAGTTAGACTTATATACCGCTTCATAGGTCTTTCAGCCCTCTCTAAGCGGTTTTACAGAGTCAGCATATTGCCCCCAACAACAATCCGGGTCCTCATTTTACCCACCTCGGAAGGATGGAAGGCTGAGTCAACCCTCAGCCGGTGAGATTTGAACAGCCGAACTGCAGAACTGCAGTCAGCTGAAGTAGCCTGCAGTGCTGCATTTAACCACTGCGCCACCTTGGCTCCATATTCATTTATAGGCATAATAAACTGAGATCGATACACTGGTTATGTACAGCAAATTGCTTATTTTGTATATATTTTTTTAAAAGGTCAACACATTAACATACCTTTCAAGCCTTTGTATCTGCTCCATAAGAGACCATTTTTCTGTGCTTAATGCATTAATTTGATCTTCCAATTTCTGCACCAACACGCATTGCTAAATAAAAATATGACCCCAAAATTAATTTAATTAATTGATTTAAATTGAATAAATACATTAATCTAATTTGCCATCCTGCAAAATGAATTATACCTCTATTGATTCTGATGTTCCAAATACAGGAATGTTTTCTAGGATAGGAGTAGTTGCCTCTAGTTCCTCCTCTTCTGGACCACATGCTACATCTACAATGTCTTTTGCAATAACTTGGTGATTTCCAAAATCCCGGTACAGTTGTAGCAAGTCTGGAGGTTTTGGAATGTTCAGTCCTACATCATCCCACAGTTCAAAATCCTTTATATATGCAAAATTAAAATATTTATGAGGTTCAGTATATAAGTTATGCAAGTTATCACATCAAATGATAAAATGCAACTTCCAGAAGAGAACTTTAGTTATTGGCCAGGTAACAATAATAAAAATAAATTTTACACTTCTCTATTACTTAATCATATACTGTTGAAATCAGTTGTAGCTTAAAATGTATGATATAATTAAATTAAATCTCATTTCTTAACATTTAAGTGACCACTACTGAAATTTTTGTTCAACATATGAAGGTTTCACTGATCATAAATAATTAGCTTAGTGAGATCTTTGATAAAACCAAATTGCATAATTCATGCAGCACAATTCTAGCTGCCACTAATTAAACATATTCAAACCTGGTCCTGCTCATTCCTTTGGGGAGTACATTCTCCAACCTGCTACTCAAAATTGCAATGTACTACATGGCCTGGAAAATACACCGCATCCCTCTGACATATATAAATAAATGGTGTTTTTTACTGCTGGAAATAAGAATATTTAAGCAAGCTGGGGGAAGCTAGAAACCCCACAGAATTTTAAAAAATCAAGAAGGAAGAACTTTCAAAACATCATGTAAGCCACCAATAATTGTTAGATCGCAATGAAGTATGAATTGATTAAATATAGGAGAAAGAAGATTCATCACACTTAAGGTCTATAAGTACAGACTGATTATTAGGAAATAGGAAAAATGGATAGCTGTCAAGAACAGTCTGTATTACATTATTTTATGACACTTGTTTCACTAATATAAGATTTAGGAAAACTTCCTAGCTATACACAGGCTCAAGATTTTCCATCAAAAATAAACTATCAGTGGTGTAGCTTCACAGTAGGTCATCAGCTTTTGATCATTCATACATTAAAATCAGTTTTATTGGAACAAAATTAATAATACAGAATAGATGAATCATTCAAATTTATTATTTATATCAAGAGACAAAAAAGTATTTCTCCTTGTATTAAAAATATGGTCCTCATTATGCAGACCAGATACCAGTATCCATAATAAAATAGCTGATATATCTATTGATTTTGATGGAATTATTTCTGCATCCATTAAACGTTTTATGGGGGCCTTTTTAATTGCAGTTATTCACAACAGAATCCTTCTTATTGATGTTTCAAAAAGAAAATTATATTGTTTTCTATCCTTTTTATGAAATTGACCTCTCGTCCCTTACGTATCTCAGACCTAAGCAGGGAGAAAGCATTAAGATGGAGTGGGTGGGAATGAACAGAGTGTATTAAAAAAAATATTCCCAGCAATTTTAGGAACTTTTATGTTCAGCTTTTTTTGTTGTGACTTATTTTTTCTAAAACAATGAAGCATTCAGATTCAAATCTAACACGTCATATGTTTAGTGCTTCATAAAAGAGAAAGAGAACATTTCAGGAGGGTGAAAAAGAAATCTATTTTCTTCTAGTGCTCCTGGATCTGGTCATCTGGAGTTCAAAACATCAGCGTTACTGTTCGGAATTAGCTTATTATTCCTTACTTTGAACAAAGCAATAACCCTACTTTAATTAATTTACACGAGAGATACACTATATCAGTGTTTCTCAACCGTGGCCACTTGAAGATGTCCGGACTTCAACTCCCAGAAATCCCCAGCCAG